TTAGAGCCCCTTGTCCACCTCTCCATAGTGGCTCGATTTTCAGAGGTGATGGTATACGCATGTCTTTTCTCTCCTTAAAGAATTACAGTTGCTCAGAACTCAAGTGAAAATCAAGTGAACAAGGCACATACAGAGGGGTAATTGTTATCTCTGTGGGCAGGCCGGGCCAATCGTGCCGTACGCTCTGCTAAGTAGTGCCACAGCCCACATTAGATGGAGTGGGTGGGTGAGAGGCTGGACATGAGGCAGGACAGAGGTGAAGAAGGAAATAAACATCAATCCATTCAATGGTTTTTTTTGTCAGTGTAAGAGAGGCTGGAGAATGATTCTCAGAGCACAGCATGCCCACAGTGTCACAATGAGTGGCGTAGCTGAGAGACACCAGAAGTCTCACTTTTACCCACAGCATTTCTCTGCATTAGTCACCCACAGGAAATTTATACTGGTGGAGTTTAATGTTGCATGCTCGTTATAAGAGGTTTGCTTATACTACACACAAATGATAATTAGGGAAATAGCTCAATGTTTCTTCAAAAGATATTTCAGTTTCCCCAAACCGCAGAACCCCGCAGGCTGAGAACTCAGAGTTTTCCCCAATTACTTATTAAAACTTCTTTAACGAGTATTTCTGCATGAATAAAATATGTGGAATTAGGACCACACTATATATTACATAAAATAGGAAATAAATGAGCGACTGCAGCCACCTGGAGAGCTGCCTGCACTAGCAGAGCTTGTGCAGAGTTGGGTTAACATATAAATTGGTCCCTAGTGCTGTATCAGTGAGCACCTAAATGCATCCAGTGGCTTGCCATTTTGCCAGAAGGGGGAAATTTTGTTCCTTCTCTTCCTTTACCTTCTCTTGTAACTCAGACCTCCCCCAGCCATGGGCCCTACCTCCTTGCTTGTGGTGGCTCTGGAACTTGTCCATGGGCAGGTTCAACTCACTGATCCAGCAGAAATCTTGGCACCTCTTTCTTCCTGGGTCACGTTTCTGCTTGGTTAGTAACCAGCATTAAGAGAAGGAATTCTTTGATCCACAGACATCAGAGCTGAAACAGTGGAAATGATATGACAGCTGGCTGGGAACAGTGCTTTCTTGTTCTGGTGGAGGTGAACTGATGGCTTAGTGCACACCATCTCATCTGAAACTTACGGTGTCTGAGCAACTCAATCCACTGTAAGCATCCAAAAAGCAGTTCAGTAAAAGCACTTGCTTTCCTCCAGTGCAGCTGAGGTCATGCACCTAGATAGAACGTGACACTTATGGCTGCCTCACAAGACCCGCTGCTTCTCTGCCAGTCCCATCAGCACAGATGTTGGCATGGTTTCACCTTGAGCTGGACCAGGAATGGATCCAGCTGAAAAATAACCTCTTCCTCCAGCTCACTTAAAAAGAGTCACATAGGAACAATGTGGGACAGTAGAGGGCTGAACAAGGTGTCAAATGGGCTTCTCCAGGGTATGAGGTGAAGGTGGCACATGTCCAGCTGCACGTTGCTGCTCCTATCCCAAAATGAGACCAGACAAAGGCTGGGACCTTCATCAGTCCTTACACCTTTGCTTCTTGGGTTAGCCCAGCATGACTAATTGCTACCAACAACAGCCTTTGGGCTGAAGGTTAAATTGGGCACTCCTGATTCTTCAATGGGAGAAAAAACAAAAACAAAAACAAAAACCAAACAGAAGTGGCTGAGATGTATGTACATTATTCATATGTTATTCACATGTAATGATAACTGTGAAGTTCTATAATACAGGTTACAATGAAGGCTTTCAGCTGCCTTTCCTCTACTGCTCCCTTATGCTATATTTTACATTCTTTTGTTGCATTCTGGTTCATGCTAAACTATGAGGCCCTTGTGGCAGGGACCACGTCACTTATGCACCAGTGCAATGCCTCACATAATGGAGCTCTAACAGCGACTGGAGCCTTTGGGAGCACCTGTCACAGAAATGACGAGAGGGAATAGTTTCACTCTTGTGGAGTGCAGAATTAATAATGCCACAGAGTGCTTGATTTTTGCTAGCCTCTTTGAAGGACTCCATTGCTTCCTCTTGCCTGTGTGGATCCTTTCCCTTCGTTGCCTTTACACACATGCAGACACATGCATACTGCTGTACCTGCTGGTCTTTCCCATCTGTCAAGAGACCACTGGAACCCTCCTCTCCTTCATTCTCTGCATCTCTCCTGTCCTTTTGCTGATATGATGAATAGGGCTGCAAATAATGGTTGGTTAATGAGCAAACCTCAATTTCTCTGATTTTTGTTTTAAAGAAAAACTTATCTTAACTCTTTTATCCCTAAATACAGGGAAAGATGATAAATTAAACCAAATGGCATTTGACACTGGAGCACAAAGGGGACAGAGGGGGTGGGAGGGAAAAAAGGAAGAAGCAAAAGACAGCTGCCTTTGGATATGACGATATTTGTAGGTTCCTTCCAACTGAACTATCCTATTGTATCCTATTGTATCCTATGCTATCCTATCCCATCCTATCCTATCCCAGACTCTTTAGCAGGGTCTGTTGTGATAGAACAAGGGGAAATGATTTCAAGTTTAAAGGGGGTAGATATAGGTTAGATGCAAGGAAAATGTCTTCTACAGTGAGGGTGGTAAGGCAGTGGAACAGGTTGCCCAGTGATGTGGTGGATTCTCCATCCCTGGATACTTTCAAGGCAAGGCTGGAACAGGCCCTGGGCAACCTGATCTAGCTGTGGACATCCCTCTTCATTGCAGGAGAGTTGGCTAGATGACCTTTAAATGCCCCCTCCAACTCTAAGGATTCTATGATTCTATTCAATTATTCTATCCTATCCTATGTATGGTTTAGGGACATGGTTAGTGGACAATATGGTGGCAGTGGGTTGACATTGGTCTTTCTAGCCTTAATGATTCTACAATTCTATGATTCTACCCTGTCTATCTCATCCTATCTCATCATACCCTATACTATTCTCCTTTGTAACTGTGTTTGGTTTTGTTTACATTTGAACAAGATTACAGGTTAAGATGCAAATATAGATTATTGTGGTAATACCTCTGCTAATAGTCTATGTGGTGACCCTTGTCTAACAGCAGGTATTTAGTTTTTATTTAGCAGGGAGGTTTTTGAACTAATTGAATCTAAGTGAAAGAAGCAGCTAGAGGACTGGGAGCTTTCACATCAGGTGGAGAGAGCTGTAAAGTTCCTACTGGCTTCAGCACGCTGGGCATGCTTTGTACATCCTTTGTGAAGGCTTGAGAAAAACTGCTGAAGGGGAAAGCAGCTAGAACTTTGGCTTCATTCTTTTTGAACCTAAATGTTTTCCTACACAATTTTCTACAAACCAAAACGCAGTTTCACACTCTAAACTGAAAACCTTACAAAGCCACCAAATGGCCATGATGACCCTCCAGGATTTGAAGGAACATCAGAGATTCTCAGGCAGAGTTGGAATGTGGGAGGACAGAGGTAGAACAAAAGTGCTCAGTGAAGTGGTTGATCCCACACATGCAAATCTTCATTGACTGCAATGACAAGAGACCGACACAGTTGGATCATAAAGTCATCCTTACAGTTGGTCTCGCTGCAAAGTCACTGTGTGGGATATGGGTGCAGACTCGGGGGGTTTCACAAAGTGTGGATTGGATGGGAACTCAAGAATGGCAGGCAGAGGAAAACAGACAACAAAGTCAGAGAAAACAACCACGAGGTCAGCTACAGGGCCTTGGCTACTACAGTGGCGTGTCAGGAACAGAGAAGAAAAAATACCACCAGGGTGATGAAATGCTAATAACCAGCCTGCTACTGCAAGAGCCAACAATTACAGGTAGGATAACACATATTTTGTGGCAGGAGCCATGTAGACAAACCGAGGTGGGCTGAATTCTGATAGACATAGACTGCATTGCCTTGTTGGGCAAAAAGCTTAAAGCAGGCTTGGGAAAAATATGCCATCAAATCAGCAAGGGACACACCAGCCGGTAACACTGTAAAATGACGTGAAGAAAGGATGAGCCCTGAGGATTCCTTGTATGGATGTACATGGAGACAATACACTGAGACATAACCTTGTCAAAGATCATGATGAAAATGCTGATGGTGCTGCTGTATTGGTATTGTTTTAATTATTTTTTTAAAAGCAAACCAAAAGCGACCAACCAGAAACCACCTTCCTGCATAGGTAAGCATCAAATGCAGACTCAGGCTCAGACCTGGAGCAAACCACAGACGTGACATACATACGTGTTACTGCAAAACAGAGTATGGGGTCTGAGTGTGTTCTCAGGAAGTAAGGACCCCACTGAGTGTCAGCCCAGTACTCCCCTGTGGGTGGGAACATACAGCAATTGTGCAATTTCTCTAAAAATTCTCCGGAGATCTAAGTTAGGCATTTGCCTTTGCAGCCTTTCCTGCCTTTGCTGTTACTGTACCTTTCACTCAAAGCCCTCGTGCTTCCCTACGTGATGGAGAAGCTGGTTATCCCTTTCACCTAAAGACCTTGTTACATCAAAAAGCCACCCGTAACGATATGGATGCCCCTTTTATCATAATACCTGTCTTTATTAGTCATGCTGGAAGAAAAACAAAAAAAAAGAAGAAAAGGAAAGGAAAGGAAGGAGGATAGGCAGCCTGCATTCCTCCTCGCCCTCCTTTTCCAGTCCGGTCCCCGGAGCCCCCTCAGCCACACCGCGGAGCCGCGGGGCAGCCCGGAGGCAGCTCTGACAGCCCGGGGTGCCGCACAGCCCGGAGCTGCCGTGCCCGCGCCCCCGGCCCCGCAGGAGGCCGTGCCCTGCGCAGCCTCCGCAGAGCAGCGCTGCGGTGCGCGGCGCGCAGGGGCCCGGGGACATGCGCACTCTCCGCGGACATCGCTCGGCGCTTCTCCTCCGCCTCCCCCGGGCGAAGGAGGAGGAGAGAAAGAGGAGGGAGGAGAGAGCCGCGCGCCGCAACTTGCTGCTGCTCCTCCCTCGCCGCTGCCCGGCCCCTGCGGGCTGCGCTCGGCGGGCAGCGCTCGGCGGGAGGCGGCAGCCGGGGCGCGCCCCGCCGCGGGGCCGGCGCCCGCCGGTGAGTTGGGGGCGGTGCGCGAAGTTGCCGCGTCTGCCCGTGTGGATGCGTGTGGATGCGTGTACGCGGGGCGCTGCGCTGCGCGGGGCTGCGCGGCCGCGGGGCTCGGCTGGTGGCCGCTGGGCTCGGCTGGTGGCTGCGGGGCTCGGGACGCACCGCCGGCTGTCCCGGTCCGGCCGCGCTCCCCGACCTGCCCTCAGCCGGCGGCCATTTGGTGCCGGGGTCAGTCCGGCCGCGGCCGCAGGTGCAGCGCGGCGCGGGCTGCGGGAGGAGCGCGGCGCGGGCTGCGCTGCGGCTCGGCGGGCTGGGGCTGCTGCCAGCCGGCCCCGAGCTGCGTTTCCATTCACATCCCGTTACGTGGTGACAGAGTGTAGTTTGTTGCGCGGTGGCATCTGCTCCTCGTCTTGGGAACTCTTGGAGAGGATGAGATCGGCAGTGGAAGGCAGAGGCTGCCGTTCAGAGCGTGGCAGAGTGCTGCGAGCGGCAGCGGGTCCGAGCGGATCGCCCTGCCTGCCGCTTGGAGCATCTCTTTCCCTCGATGCCTCTGACGGGGAAGTGCCCGGCGCGCGGTCGTGGCGGAAAGTTGTGCAGCGTTACGCGCGCTGATGGAGCCGATTATCTAAATAAACAAACCCAATGATTTATAGGTGTCTGAGCTGTAAGGCTCTGAACGATAGAGCTCTTTAACCTTTCTTTCTAATCTGTCCCTCAGAGATTTGGTTTTAAGCAGAGTGATACATCATCTGTGGTGCTGAGTACTTGAGTTGATTACATTTGTAAAAGGAACGGGCTTTGAAATAATACCGAGCCATTGAGCAACAAATGCAGAAAAAGTGTGAGAGAGAAAGAGCAGAGATAGCATTCAGGCAGGAAAGATTTTTTTCCCCTTCTTAGCAGACAGGCTCGATTAACTTTTATCTGGAGTTATTGTTTTATTATATTAAGCTAAAAAGAAGAAAGAAAAAAAGTGCTGTGTTAATCCGGCAGTAAGTCCTCTTGAAATCTGCCTCTGCTGTGGGTAAGTCATGATTGGAGCTGCGTTCATTCAGGGACTGTGCAGAAGCACTGCTGAAGATATCAGGCATGTATTTGGAAATAGTTTGTTGTTGCGTCCGTTTCCCATAGACAGTGCAGAAGCAGAAGTATCAAGTTGCTGGGTTTCTTATTCTGCATCTTTAAAATTGTATCCTGATGAGTATCCCTGTATGTTAGATGTGCAGCTACGTTATAGCAAAAGTGCCTCCTTTCACTGGGAAAGGGATTCATTCAGCTGTGAGCTTCTTTAACAAGGGCCACATTCCGCAGCCTGTAGAGCATCTTGTGTAAGGGGAGAGTCTTTTGCTCCTGTTGAAAAACAATAGTGAGCACAGTATGTGCAGCTTTTTGCAGGCCAAAAATACAAAAGCGGCTTTATCTTTAACCAGTATTTCAACACAGTGTTTTATTAACATAAAATCAATATTCAGGTCAGCAACGAGGATCTGCAACTTCTGAAAGAGAAAGTGGTCTGAAGGCAGCACAGTGAGTAAAGGTTGTGGGATGTGGCCCTTCATAAGCACACCTATCTCTTACTAAGTTCCTTTTGTGAAATGTCACTTAGTGAGGAAGACATTTTAATCAGTGCTCCTCAAAACCCTTGTTGCCGGGCTCTTGAACATGCCTTTGGGTCGTGCATTGTATGCAAATGACTGCTACTCCAGAACTACACTCCAAATTTATCCTACTATTAAAGTTACATTGATCAGAAAGTGGCAACTGGATTTCAAGCCCGAAATAAGGAATGCTCAATAGTCTCAAGCTAATTTACATTTTAAGAAGCACTATGCCGAGCAATCCACAGGAAATGCATTGAGTTTTCTTTGCTGGCTGTGCAGTGGCATTTCGTTAATGAAGGCTCTTTCCCGAGGCTGACTTCATTGGCACACAATGGAGTTAAATCTGTTTATCAGCTCTTTGATGGTGCTGGTAAAGTGCTGGAGAGCTCAGTGGCTGGAACAGGACACAGCCCTCCTCTTTCCAGATGGGAAGGGGAATGGAAAATGGAAGGGCTTTTTCAAAGTAGTTCCAACACTATCATTTGTAGCAGCAAAATGCAATGCAGGAATAAGATTAATAGACCAAGTAGGCTCAAAGACATTGTTTAACATTTAATTGAAACCATAAATCATTCAAACAGCATTATCCAGGCTCCTGCAGTGATGCTTCTGCTTCCAGGTGTTGAGAACCCTACAGATTTCATTACTGGGATGTGCAGTTCTGAGGGGCCGACAGCTCATCCTCAATGCCACTGAGCCCCACTGTGGTCAGGAGCCACCACTGGTCTGTGGGTCAACAACCTGAGGCTCCCTTCAAGTGGAAATGTTTGTGGGATGAATGGCTGTGGCCCTTCTAAATGAGATTGGTCACAAGGCTATGGCTACTTGCTGCTCGTCCTCATGTCCTGAGCATGTGGGGGCTATTTTAGTGTCTTCAGTTGCAGTCTTTATGTGTATGGCAGTGCTACAAACGACTGCTGTGGTCAGGGAGGAAGTTCAGGGCAGCAGCTTCTTCAGGCAAGACCACAGATTTCTAAATGTTTATATCATAGAGTTGTAGACTCTTGAGCTCAAGGGTCACTGAGTCCAATTCCCAGCTCCGCACGGCACCACTCAAAAATCAAACCCTATATATGAGAGCACTGTACAAACACTCCCTGAATTCCGGCACTCGGGCCGTGCCCACCGCCCTGTGGTGCAGCCCCTGTCCCTGACCCCCAGCCGCCCCTCCCCTGACGCAGCTCCATGCCGTTCCCTCGGGCCCTGTCGCTGTCACACAGAGCAGAGCTCAGCGCTGCCCCTCCGCTCCCTGTGAGGAGCTGCAGCCGCCGTCAGGCCTCCCCTCAGCTCCTCTGCTCTGTGCTGAGCGCACACAGGGACCTCAGCTGCTCCTCATACACCTCTCCCTCTTGACTCATCACCATCTTTGTAGCCTTCCTTTGGATGCTCTCTTGATAGTTTTATGTCTTATGTTGCGGCACCCAAACCTGCACCCAGTGCTCAAGGTGAGGCTGCGAGTTGAATGGTCCGGTACTTTCAGTCAGCACCACAGTCAGCTATTGCTTACACTGGCCAACATGTGGAATGGGGAGCACTGCATGCTCATTTGTGTAATGCAGCTGGCAGTGAGTTCTAGGCTTGGAAACCACCCTGTGCTCATGAGGACTTGTGGAAGCCCTGTAGAAGTGCATGGATACAGCAGCTGCAGCCTGAAGGCTCTGGCGCAGAGTTACTGCAGATATCTTCAGTTACTGTTGTCCATCTCCATCTTAGTAGTGTCTCTCACTGAGTGGCTGTGCCATGCTGGGGACTCTCTGCAGGTCACCCATGAGCACACGTGACAGATCCCTGGGCCTCCCAGAACCGTGTGTGCTGGGCAGGCAGCACTGCACTGTACAAGCTGCTCATGGACACCGGTCAGCAGGAACTTCCAGGTGCTTGGTGCCATATTTGAGAGCATATGCTGCAAACCCCCACGCAGTTTGACTGTGCTTTTCTTTAGTGGGAAAGCATTTTTTTTACAACACTGTCTCCACAGTTACTTGAACAAACTGTGGTGCCCGAGCCAAGAGCATCAGTCAAATTTGACAAGGAGCATACCCCTCTTTGGGAAGTTTCCTATGGCCCAATTCAGTGGCACAGCTTAGGGGCAGCCGGGTACATGCAGTCCCCATAGCAGCTCCTGCATCAGGCTACCGAGTAGCCAGGTGAAAATGAGGGGCAGGAGGCATTTCTTCATTTTGTGTGAGTGTGGTATAACCAAGGTTTAGTTAAAACAGTGATGGTAGATTGTTAGGGCAGATAAATACTGCCTTGTTACAGCCCTCTTGGGTCATATGTAAGCAGTGTTCGTTTTAGAAAGGATGAATGAACAGTCAGTGTGGAGGATAAAGATCAGCATTGTTAATTGCGATCGAAGTCTTCCGTGGGAAAGTATAAACTCGTGAGGAATGATACTGTCCATAAATGTCATTTAAATATTTACATAACTCAGGGATAAAATTTCTATATTAAAATACAGAGTCATGTTTGGGGTCCTGTTGGCAATAACCGGGACTTAGACAGCTGGGTTTGGTTGGTGGTAGTGCACTGATTTCTTCTGTGTTTCCGAATGCTTCACTAACAGTAACCAAGACAGTAACTTCAGTATGGAAAGCCCTTAATTGTTCTTATTTAAGAAAAGGGGTTTTTGATTTTGTTTTTTAGATACTTGGGAAATTATATTTGCATAAACTCTTGTGTTTCAGGTGTGATTAACTTTTACTTTTTGGTGTTACAGTTTAAGAATGCAAGTCACCATTATCTAAGCTTAGGTGCATAGTGGTTGATCGTCCACTGAAGCTTCTGGCTGTTGATAAGTCTGCAGAGTGGGAGGAATTGCTCCATGTGGGAAAGATTTTTCTCACCCACCATAAATAACTGGAAATGGTAGGAACTGTTCCTACACTGCTCATTGATGTTGCAGTTCTCACAGAAGTTTCCTTTGTCCTTTTCCAGTTCTCAGAATGTGATACAACTCTTGAAAAATTCTGTCTACTTTCATGTAAACATGATGAAGATGAGCCTTTGAGAACATAGCTTATTTTGATAAATAAACTAGCTTGGCCAGTGTAAATCTTTTCATCTAACTTCAAGAGCCACACTGTATTGAAGTAAATATAGATGTACTTAATGTGCTCCTTTCATCCAAATACATAACAAACACTCTAATCTACTGCAAACAAACCTAAAATGAATTTCTAAGTGGTTTTCTTCTTGGTACTGGACAAGTTTAGTCTAGCTAGGGTAGGACAAGAGTGGATGTTACTCCTGGAATTGTCAAAGTGCTGAGGTGAGTGCTGATCTAAACAGGAGAGGTGGAGAGCACATGGTAGACCTATCTCTTCAGCTGTTCTGTGAAAGAGAAAGAAAGTGCTTGCTCTAGAGTGTGTTTTTGATGAGCTTGTCCCCAAAGTCATCCCTTTG